TGTTCCCTAAACTTGCACTTGCAAACACTGGCCGCACCTGTCTAAGGGTTGACGCCGCCTTCAACCATAAGTTGTTCGCCAGCCCCCTTGCCATGTCCATCAGGATATCTACGTCTTGCTGATTAAGCGTTGGCTTTGCAAACAGCTGCCGCATCTCATGTAAACTCTTGGTAAACGGAAAGCTCTTCGAAGATGGAGCGAATACTCCTGATGGGTCGAAGTCGTGAGGGACGACGCCTGCTTCCACCACTGGCAGGCGCACATAGGGATGATACCGACGGTCCTTCGCGCTAAGGGGTGTTTTTTCAATGGCGCGAAGCGGTTGGTGCACCGAAGCTGAGCTGGGAGCAGTGGACGGCTCCGCAATTCGTGACGAGCAACCTGCTGCCAGGGACCACTGACATTCTTCCAGATCTCTCTGAGCATATTCAGTGTCTTCTTTCTCTTCTATCCAGTCTCTGGGCTTCACTTGGAGAGCAGTGCCGGAAGCGGAGTCTCCACTAGATTCCAGGTCCAGAGCATGGCGTACAAGCACCGGCTCGCCACTCCCAGATTCAAGAGTCCTCAGCCACCCTACTGCTGCAATACCTGTGTCTGTCTGTCGTACATCAGAGACTCCTCCAATATTAGGGCCTTCGCCTTGTGTCGACTGCACTTCTTGGTTTGCCTCATACTCTGAAGCAGCAGCGGAAAAAAAGGACACGAGCTCAGCGATCCTCCTTGACCGGTCGCCGTGGGAGGTAGAAGGAGGTTCTGGACGCCAAATCCCCAACTCTGCCTCGAGCGCCAAGCAGCCCTCCAAGACAGACTCCTCCTCTTCGTCGATACCCCCATCCCCACCAGCCAGCCTGCGGCGAGTCATCCCCACCGCCTGTTCTCTGCTGCGGCTTGCTGTGCATACTGACCACATGAAAAAAAGTGCGAGGATCGAAAAGGTGGCAGCCAGTGAGGCAAGCTGCGCGCGCTTTTGAGACCGGTGTCTGCGGTTGTTGAGCTCGTGGCGGCGGACCACTGGGTGCCCAGTGGCCTGGCCCAGGAAGAGAGAGGAAACTTGTAAGAAGGCTTCAGAAACTTCATTTTCCATTTTAACTAATGGGAATTTCAATGTTTGGTCATGCTACTCTTCCTCTGACACGCTAAAAACAACTGCATTCGGAGCCGACGTCGTACTGCAGGGCTCGGACCAGTGCGTGAGCGACGCTAAACGCATAATATCAAAACTATGGCATTTTCCTGTCCCATTTCCATAGAAGCAACTAGCAGATTTTGACCACAGGGAACTTAAGCACCTTTGCTGAAACTCGGCTACAGGTGGTTGCTCGGGGTGCCCTGGTGTGCGCATCGCTCACTGTGCCGCGTTTCTCCATCGCCAGTAGCAGGGTTGTTTAACAATGTGCAGAAGCACATCTTATCCTGGTGGAAAAGCAAGTTTGGGAATAATCCCTACTAAATGATGTGTTCGGTAGGGTTACATTCTTTAGCAGCTGATGTCTAGACTCGGAACCCCAGGATGGACTCCATGCGGACTCACCTCACCAGCTTTCGTTACCATCAGCTTTCCACTCCAAACGCGTTTCCGGTTTTCTCAGCCACGTTAACGAACCGTGTTCGGTAGATGAAGCAAACATTTCTCCCTTCTTTCACCTCTTTTTGGGTCGGGCCACGAGCGCATGCCTAAGAAAAGGCGTCGCTGGTGGTACTAACAGTTTCCGTTCAGGAAAGGAAAACATCAACAGCCTGTAAAACTAAGCAAGGTTCATCTTCCCACTTTGGCTGGTGAATGCCGATGCGTGGCCTTTCCGTCTCTTCCACGGGACCCGCAAGGAAGCAGCCATGCGTAACGTGCCTACCACAAAAATCGCACACTTCTCTACTTCGCCTTACCAATCCTGAGAACAGCGGATTCGCCTTACCAATCCTGAGAACAGCGTAAGATCCTTAACTCCTTACTCTCCTGTACGCTGCCTTGCAGTTCAAGTAGGGTTGTTGAGTACCTAAGGAGTAGGCAGTAATAACAAAATTACACGCTTGGCTTGGTGATTGAAGAGAACAAAGTAGGTTAGCTGTTTTCTTGCCTTCTTTGCATCTCGGTCGAATGTTTCTCGACTTGGCTAACATCGAAGCGCACACATCACGGGGACTCCGAAGAGTGAACTCAACGGTGCGGGAGTTCTCTGATATAGAGAGAGGCTCCCGAGGATAGTTGAACAGCACACTATAAGGCAGCGTGCCCACAGCGAAGAAACTCGAATATGTCTGCAATCACCAGCGTGGTATGGACTGACTGGACGCATGCCATTTATTTCCTAAATCTTCCACAGCTTAGACGAGCATCTGCCATGAACAGTTACAGGTAGGGCCAGGGGAATGATGGAGGGTACTTTGTCTAGGCTGCGTAGAGAACTGCAGCAGCTGCTGCAAGGAAGACAATAGCAAAATCACAGCTTCTCGGCGCAAACGTTGCCGCTCGCGCGTCACTGGGGAGGAGCCCAAATTCAAAGAAGGCAACGTTATAATGGTTACGATGCAAATGTCCCTGCAGATACAAGATTAGCCCCATATGAACAGCGCAAAAGAGGTATTATCATACCGCCTGCTCATATTAAAACATCACTGCGGTTCATATCCAAATTCAGCAAATAAAAGATGATCCTGCCTCCAAGGGTCCCATTGAGAATCCCGGAACAGTGGAGGCGAAAATGGAGAGAAAAACAGCTTTCGCTTCAGCTCAGTCAGAGTGAGAAAGTGAGGCCGTTTTCTCTTTTTGTATGTTCTCAAGGCTGCAA